CCAGGCCCAGAGCATGAGGTGCCTTTTGTTGGTAACAAATCTCTGACAGTTCACACTTTTTAGCATGTTGCACTCAAGGAGTTCTTAAAGTGTTGCTCTCACCACTCCCACAACTTTGCAAAAATATAAAGCCCTACAATAAAGAACCCCAGATATCTATTATTATTTTTTTATTTATAAAAAGTCCAACTTGCCACTTGATTTTGAAATCACGTTTCAGACTTTTGATGTTGACCCTGGATTCTTGTTAGAGGGCAGAGTCTCCTTGGGTTCCTAGCAATGACATCTGGGACAAGAAGAAGGAACCACTGCAGATATCTGTTAACAGAATATAATGCAATAAAATTCCCCTGAGCAATTATCCTTTCTACCTCCACTGGATTTGTGTCTTTCCTTTTCCTTAAGGCTCTATTTCTTGCCTTCTCCATGTCCCACATTGTTTTTCCCATCTCAAGGTGCTTTTCATCTTTCACTCCCTATGAAGTTCTCCCTCACTTTTCTCCCTTCCCATAGACCCTCTCTATATGGTCTAGACTCGACTGCTTTCTTCTTACAGTTCAGGCTGCCTGTTGGCATCACTGTCTCTGGTCCTATATCCTGCACAATGAGGGATTCACACTCATATACAGCATAGGCCAGGGGTGGGCAAACTATGGCCCGCAGGTCACATCCGGCCCGCGAGCTGTTTTAAGACAGCCTGCGAGCCGCACCACATGGCTCAGCCCCGCTCCGGCTGGGGTGCTGGGTTGGGCGTTGCACCAGTGGCTCGTCCCCACTCCAGCCGGGGAGCAGGGTTGGGGTCACACCACGCGGCTCCTGGAAGCTGCAGCATGGCCCCACTCCAGCTCCAATGGCTCCTTCCGGCACTCCAATGGGAGCTGCAGGGGCGGTGCCTGCGGATAGGGCAGCGTGCAGAGCCACCTGGCCACGCCTGCGCATAGGAGCTGGAGAAGGGACAATACCACTTCTTCTGGGAGCCGCTTGAGGTATGCGCCGCTTGGAGCCTGCACCCCTGAGCCTCTCCCCACAACCCAACCCCCCACCCCAGCCCTTATCCCCCTCCCGCTCTCCAAACCCCTCAATCCCAGCCCAGCGCACCCTCCTGCACCCCAAACTTCTCATTTCCAGCCCCACCCCAGAGCCCGCACCCCCCCTCACCTCAATTTTGTGAGCATTCGTGACCCGCCATACAATTTCTATTCCTCGATGTGGTCCTTGGGCCAAAAAGTTTGCTCACCCCTGGCATAGGAACTAAGGAAGTAGCAACCAGTCCATATTAAGGAAGGGAACTACCTTATCAGCTTACCAAGGGTACAAAAATGCCTTCCAGTGCAGGGTATGAATTTGAACAGAGCATAGGTGCTAGTCAGCATATGCAGTGTAAGAATCACAGCCCCGTTAAAACTGGGTGTATTCTACTAAAATTGTCAACTGCTGTCCTACTGGTTACGGCTCATGGCTGCAGGCTGGGGCCCCAAATTTACCTTCTGGGATCTACTAAACAAACCTGATATGAGAAGTACTTTTTATACTGGTTACTGTTCTTGCCTTCTACAAATTGTTTACTAGACGCTTTGCCAACAAACTGTTGTCTCCTTGGCAGTTCTCTCATAACTTGCACTGGAAGCGTGCAAAATATGTTTTAAACTCCAGTTGTCATGCAAAGTATGTAGCCTACCCCATTACTGTGTTCCCACATTAAACGAATATATCTCTTGAAACCTTGCAACTCCTTTTTTTAAATTAAAGCAATTTATTAAGGACCAAAACCAGTGTGTAACCAAGTTAACAAGGTCTATGATTGTCTATCATCTTGTACTTTGTGAATAGTATGTTTGAAAAAACTGAATTCTCTGTGACATAATATAAATAATATGATGTGATCTTTTTCTATCTAGCCATAGATCATTTTTTGTACATTGAAGAAAAAAGGAGGACACACACAACGCTTTTCAGAATTAAAATAGCCACCGGCTTCCTTTCTTATCTGAGGGTGTCAGGTCGCCATTGTACTTGAGCACACTGGAGAAATGCCACAGCAGAAGTGGTTTGCTGTGGTTTCCTTTTAGCAATATCTTGTTGGCTGAGTTTTCATGTTGATAAAGCAAAAGCAGGGTTGATACAAATTCAGATACTATTTTATTGGAGCCCTTAAATTGATACTGTGGGGTTCCTGGTGGCTTAGAAACATCTTTGTCCCTCTCACCTCCCCCTTGCCTGCACTCTGCCCTGAAGGTATCATAGCTGCCGAGGATCCAGTCCACAGAAGGACGGATTCACGGGGAGTCCAGAAGTTGGGATCATTTCAACTTTTTCTTTTTAAATAATGAAAAATTCACTTTGTGTGGGTACTTTGGAAAGAAAGGAGTGTTTAAGAGGGGAGAGATTGGTAGTCTGGCAAACTGGGATAGAAGTAGGGTGACCAGACGTTCTGATATTATTGGGACCATCCCAATATTAGGGGTTTTGTCTTATATAGGCAACTATCCTCCCCCCTGCAAGTGTCCTGATTTTTCACACCTATTTGGTCACCCTAGATAGGGCATCAATGATACTGCCAAGAATGACCTTGAGCGGATCACTGCAGACTACGTGGCTCTGGGAAGAAGGATAAAGGAGTTTGAGGTGCAAGTGGTGTTCTCGTTTATCCTCCCCGCGGAAGGAAAAGGCCTGGGTAGAGACCGTCGAATCGTGGAAGTCAACGAATGGCTATGCAGGTGGTATCGGAGAGAAGGCTTTGGATTCTTTCACCATGGGATGGTGTTCCAAGAAGGAGTGCTAGGCAGAGACGGGCTCCACCTAACGAAGAGAGGGAAGAGCATCTTTGCAAGCAGGCTGGCTAACCTAGTGAGGAGGGCTTTAAACTAGGTTCACCGGTGGAAGGAGACCAAAGCCCTGAGGTAAGTGAGGAAGTGGGATACTGGGAGGAGGCACGAGCAGGAGCGCGTGAGAGGGGAGGGCTCCTGCCTCATACTGAGAAAGAGGGGTGATTAGCAGGTTACCTCAAGTGCCTATATACAAATGCACCAAGCCTGGGAAACAAGCAGGGAGAACTGGAAGTCCTGGCACAGTCAAGGAATTATGATGTGATTGGAATAACAGAGACTTGGTGGGATAACTCACATGACTGGAGTACTGTCATGGATGGATATAAGCTGTTCAGGAAGGACAGGAAGGGCAGAAAAGGTGGGGGAGTTGCACTGTATGTAAGAGAGCAGTATGACTGCTCAGAGCTCCGGTACGAAACTGCAGAAAAACCTGAGTGTCTCTGGATTAAGTTTAGAAGTGTGAGCAACAAGGGCGATGTCGTGGTGGGAGTCTACTACATACCACCAGTCCAGAGGGATGAGGTGGACAAGGCTTTCTTCCGGCAACTCGCAGAAGTTACTAGATCGCAGGCCCTGGTTCTCATGGGAGACTTCAATCACCCTGATATCTGCTGGGAGAGCAATACATCGGTCCACAAGCAATCCAGGAAGTTTTTGGAAAGTGTAGGGGACAATTTCCCGGTGCAAGTGCTGGAGGAACCAACTAGGGGCAGAGCTCTTCTTGACCTGCTGCTCACGAACCAGGAAGAATTAGTGGGGGAAGCAGAAGTGGATGGGAACCTGGGAGGCAGTGACCATGAAATGGTTGAGTTCAGGATCCTAACACAAGGAAGAAAGGAGAGCAGCAGAATACAGACCCTGGATTTCAGAAAAGCAGACTTTGACTCCCTCAGGGAACTGATGGACAAGATCCCCTGGGAGAATAACATGAGGGGGAAGGGAGTCCAGGAGAGCTGGCTGTATTTTAAAGAATCCTTATTGAGGTTACAGGGACAAACCATCCCGATGTGTAAGAAAGAATAGTAAATATGGCAGGCAACCAGCTTGGCTTAACAGTGAAATCCTTGCTGCTCTTAAATACGAGCAGCAGGCGGCGGCTTCGCACTCAGGCCCAGGGAGGCGGAGGTGAGCTGGCATGGGGGGGCGCAAGGAGGGCTGCTCGCACCGCAGCAGGTAACCCGGGGTGGGGGGGCACGCAGGAGAACCGCTCCCCACCCCAGCTCACCTCTGCCACCCTCAACCTGAGTGGGAAGCTGCTGCCTGCTTCTCAGCCCTCCCCGGCTTCCCGCTGAACAGCTGATTCGCAGGAAGCGGGGGGGGGGGGCAGAGAAGCAGAGTGGGGCAGTGCGTTCAGGGGAGAAGGCGGAGCGGAGGTGAGGTGAGCTGGGGCCAGGCGCGGAGCTGCTGGTGGGTGCTCTGCACCCACCAAATTTTCCCTGTGAGTGCTCCAGCCCCGGAGCACCCATGGAGTCAGCACCTAAGGCACCACTTTTGATGTGATCCGTGGGGGGAGCGGCCTCTCCCTGCTCCCCCCCTAGCTATGCTCCCCCACGGCTAGGAGACAGAGGGACCTGCCAGATGCTTCCTGGGAGCTTCCCCAGGTAAGCACTGCCGGGACTCCCCACCTCGCCACCCAGCAGGTCCCTCTGGCTCTTAGGGGCGGGATGGCACCCACTACGGTGGCCCACGAGACCCTCCTGCCTGGTTCTGGGGGCAGTCAGGGGACAGGGGAAATGGGTGGATCGGGCAGGGGTCCTGGGGGGAGGGCGTCAAGGAACGCGGGGGGTTGGATGGGGCACAAGTTCCAGGGGGCGGGGTGGGCAACGAGGTGAGGAGGGAACCAGTTGTTAAGATTTTGGCAGCTCATCACTGCATGTAGCCAGTGCAGCTTCCACACGTGTTTTTCGCTGAGCGCTGCTACTACAGTAGCAGCTGTATGTGTGCGTGTTTGGGAATGCGTTTGCAGCCCCAGGGTGGATCACTGCCAGCTCCCACTCCTCCTAATTAGCAAAATATGCTACGCCCAGCCCAGGTGCTCAGCAAGTAAGCGGACTGAGTTCTCTCCAGTCAGGAGCAGCTCGGCAACTTGTAGCGTTCAACGCTGACTCGGCAGCAAGGGGGGGGGGAGGAAGGAGCCTTCCAGCGCCGGTAACCACTCCCCAAAGGGAAAGTCATTAGGGGGTGGAGAGACAGCGCCCGGTGCAGGGGGAGCTGCTATTGGTACGCAGGGAATAGACACCAGCTCCTGGGAGCAGGAGGCAGCCAGGCAGAGCGAGCGGCAGCCCCGAGCAGCAGCAGCCCGCCCCCTGCCCGAGCCTCGTCTCTCCCCGCGGCAAGTCTGAGCGCCACCGGCCGCCTCCCTCCGGGCACCGCCATGGGCTCCCCCCAGAAGCCGCCCCTCGCTCACCTCTTCAAAGGCACCTTCGTGCACGCCAGCCGCTCCTCGCCCATGACCGTGCTGCACGGCCACCTGCTGGGCGTGGGCGACGACGGGCGAGTGAGTGCGAGGCGCGCGGGGCCCGGGGGGAAGGGCGTGGCGGCGGCGTGCGGGGGCTGTAATCCCGGGGGCACGTGTGGGAAGGGGGGGGGGCGGCTCTGCGTTCTGTTGGCGGGCGTGGAGGGGCTCGGTAATCTCGAGGTGTGCAGGGAGGGGTGTACGGTATTGCACTGAGTAGGAGAGGAGGCATGTCATACTGGGGTGCCTCGGTGGGGGTGTGCATAATAGTGGGAGGATACAGCCTTGGGGGGGGGTTTGCATGTGGTACCGTGTGGGGGGCGAGAGGGGTTTTCTGTTGTGTTCTAGTGGGGGTATGTACATGCCTGCCACCTGTCAGGTTAACAGGTGTGTGGTTAACGTGGGCGCATGCATGCTGTGTTTTTGAGTGACTCTCCTTGCGATGTTGCAGTGGGGTTTTCAGCCGAGGAGGGGCATGAAGAGCTGTCAAAAAACAGACATAAATGATGTGGATGAATTTTTAGCGGATCTCTGCCTTTCTTTAAGAAGATTTGAAATGCTGTGGCATATTCATTTCCAGCTACACAGATGTCTCCCAAAGTATTAATTTGCTCTCACTTGTGGCTTGAAATTGTAATTTGATTTCTTGAGTCAATTCTCTGCAAAGGGTGGGAGGAAGGAGAAAAGATGTTCAGGCTCATTTTTGCTGCAAATCTTTAGGAAGCGGTTGAAAATATTTTAGGAAACAAAGTAAATAGGGGGCAGCAATAGAAGCAAATATTTTATGATCGGTAGGCGTTAGCTAGAGGTAACTGGTAATTCAAAGAGTTAGCTTCACAGACAGGATAAACTACTTGGCATCTTTGGAGGAACCTGCCCATGATGTATAGATTACTTTGTTTTCACTGTTTTCAAAACAGCAGTTAATTTGGACCATAAATGTTTCCTCCAGTTTTTAATTTTGATTTTCCATTCTCAGTAAAAATAAAATTCAGAATATATCTTTTTAAATTATTTCTAGAATAGCACATAACTCTTTGTGTAGTGTTGAATAGTCTCCCTAGACCAGGGGTGGCCAACCTGTGGCTCCAGAGCCACATGCGGCTCTTCAGAAGTTAATATGCGGCTCCTGGTATAGGCACCAACTCTGGGGCTGGAGACATGGGCGCCAACTTTCCAGTGTGCTGAGGGGGTGCTCATTGCTCAACCCCTGGCTCTGTCACAGGCCCTGCCCCCACTCCACCCGTTCCCGCCCCCTCCCCATAACCTACCGTGCCCTCGCTCCTCCCCTTCCCCCCAGAACCTCCTGCACCCCACGAAACAGCTGATTGGGAGGTGTGGGGAGGGAGAGGGAGGTGCTGATCGGCAGGGCTGCCGGTGGGTGGGAGGCACTAGGAGTGGGGGAGTTGATGGGGTGGGGTGGGGTGCTGATGTATTACTGTGGCTCTTTGGCAATGTCCATTGGTAAATTCTGGCTCCTTCTCAGGCTCAGGTTGGGCACCCCTGCCCTAGACATTTTCTCTTGTCAGAAACAAAAATGTACATACAGAGTAATAATTGACTGGTGATTATACAGAACTTTGAAAATAAAAAGTACTCTGTAAAATTAGAATTATTAATATAACTGATAGATTACTGATTCAGTTATGAGTGCCAATTAAAAAAAAGAAAACTATTTTTATTAATTGTGCAAGATCAAATATGACGGGGAAGCTATGTTATTGCCCTAACAATACTAAATGTTGGCCTCAATCCTCCAATGAGCTCTGCACAGGTAGATCCTTGAGCCTTGTGGAAGCCCACTGACTTCAATGTAGCTTCATGTGTAGATAAATTATAGAAAGATCATTTTCATCACCATTTCCCCTTTTTGTTATGAGGAGGAATACAGCAATTTATGTCTGGCTTGCATGAAATTTGACAGGCATGACTCGCAGACTTTGAAGCCCTTAAAAACACACTCCCCCTCCTCCCCCTTCTTATTTTCACTATTACCTGAACTTTGCACTTTGATCTGACTGGGTTTTCATCAAATACAGATTTGATTACAGGATTAGGACCTAACTTCCTCTTTCAGGAGCCATTGTGGGAGCCTTCTTATGGCTCATTAAGGCTTGGTGTAAAACCCACTGAAGTCAATGGAAAGACTCTTCTTAACTTCAAAGGTCTCTGGCTAAAAAGTTAAATTTCTATACATCAGGGAGGCTGCCAACCAAAGACAACATAGTTGAGTGAATGGTTAAAGAGTTTGCTTAATATATTTCAAGGTTAGTGAGTTCAATACTTTAAACTTCTACTGTTATATTTTATTATTGCAGTGTCCACTGAATCACTGTATTTTCCCCACACATAGTGCCTGATTCTGTAGTTTTAATTCATGCAGAGCTCCCATTGGAATCAGTGATTGTGTGAAGACTGCAAGATTAGAAACTTGATTAGCCTTATCATTCAAATATATTCTGTATTTTCGGGAAATATTTCAATATTTTTGTTGAGGAATTAAAATATAAGACTCTCTAAAATGGGACAGTTCAGACTCAGAGAGCACATCAGGGGTCTGTGCAGGAATCTCATAGAGGTCACTGCAGGAAGGAGTGAGTCCTGGGGAGGAATGTGAAAGAGAAGCTGGAAGTCATGTGACCCATGGGAAGAGGAAGAGACTCCCATGCAGAAGGGAAGGCGTGAAAGGCAGTAGAAAGATGATGGCGAGAAGGTTACAAAGGGGCGGTGAGAGGGAGGGCTTGGGCTGAGCAAAGTGGAAGCAGGAGGGTAGGAGCTGGGTAGGGTCTTAGAGAGGAGGAGAAGTCTGACCCGGAAGCAGGAAGCAGGAGGAGGACATTGGAGACTCTGAAGAAGTGAGTGATATGAACAGAACAGCAGAGGAGAAAAATGATTTTAGCAGCAGCACTTTGGCTGAGCCAAGTGGGAACACGTCTCAGCTGGGCCAGAGACAAGGCGGTTGCAGGAGTCAAGGGGAGAGATGACTTAAGAAGGGAGTAGAGTTAGAAGACCAGAGTATTCAATGGCAACTTGGGTGTGGGCATCATGGAGGTTGCATGCTGGGGAGGTGTAGGACAGAGCGGTAGAGAAGGAGGGGATCAAGGCAGCACGAACTGATGGCAATGAATCTTATTTTCCTTTGCATCCAGTTGGCCTGAGTGGGGTGGGAAGGGGAATTCCCTGAGGCCTGTAAAGCTCTTTGAGATCTTCAGCTGGGTGGTGCTATAGAAGGACGGGGCATTTTGGTTCCAGGATAGAGAGTAAGTTCCTGCCCCTCCCACCCTCTACTGTAACAGACAATTCTGGTGGTTCCTAAGCAATCACAAACTTTAGCCTGGGAAGGGTTGTGGCACTGCACGTGCAATCAATACCAAAATTTCCAGGGATGTTCAAGGCACCAATAGAAGCCTAATGATTTTGGTGAAAACCAGAAAACCGTAGAAGATTGATTTTCACTGGTGTGAGAGGAAAATCAGGCCCACAGAGTGCCCCTTTGGTGCTGAGTGAAAGTAATACCTGTGGTGCCCCTGCTGTGGCCTACACATATTGCAGGCAGCTGCTTAAGATGCTGCTCTCCCTCTTTGGGTGTACAACTCCGCCTCCATAAGCAGTGAAGTGTGCAACCCTCGAGAATGACAGTTTGCATGCCCTTTGCATCAATGGGGGACACACCTAGCTTTGCCAGTGACACGGCCCACTCAGAGGGGCGATGGCTGGGTGGTTTGGGTCATAGGCAGGGTCCTAATCTTCCTACACACAGCCAATTCCCAGAAGTCAACGTTGGGGGGGGGAGATACATCTTTTTTTAGCCATGTCATTGCTGAACTCCTCCCTCCTGGGAGGTATTATCCTGTCTGTCTCTGCACTATGCAAGCATAATGCTTTCAGCTACTGCCATGCAGGCCCTATAGCTCACTCCTTCCCTGAATGCTTCTAAGAGTCACAACTAAGCCCCAGAGCTGCGAGATCAGGCACACAAAAAGCACTCATGCTCTGGAAACTCCACCGCTAAGGTTGCTCCAGCAACATGAACTCATTTTTATTACATATTCTGTGTATTTTAAAAGTTAATAGTAAAAGTAATACATTAATGTTTATAGTTAGCTGACTTTAGCATAGCTAGAGTAACCTTAATTTTGTAATTTCTTAACCTTTGAATGTTTACTGACAACCTTCATATTTCAGTAAACATTCTTTTGCATTTAAGTTCCTATGGTTTATTAAAAATAAGTGGACCATAATTGGCTTGTGTAATTCACAGACATTTCTGTCTTCACCAGACAATTTTGTGAGGGCCGTTTTCTGCTATTTGTCTTGTGTAGCATATAAGCTCTGCTGGCTTGACCATCTCAGTTTATCACTTCGTTGAGCCAGCAAATGTTTATCTAACCAGGTTTCAAAGTAGCAGCCGTGTTAGTCTGTATCCGCAAAAAGAAAAGGAGGACTTGTGGCACCTTAGAGACTAACACATTTAGTCTGTAGCTCACGAAAGCTTATGCTCAAATAAATTTGTTAGTCTCTAAGGTGCCACAAGTACTCCTTTTCTTTTATCTAACCAGTTGCTCATTTAACAAGCTATGCAAGATGTCAGTATGTTGATCATTAAGTGGGCAGCTAACAATTTAATGGAATGTAATACTGTGCATGCTCAGCTGTGCATTTTCAAATGTGTATTGCAATTAAACATGATAGTGTGGGGTTTTATGATGGTTTAATTAGCATGAGTTTAGAATGACTGCTTTGCAGTAGTTATATAAGTCATCCGAAACAAGTACCAAGAAATCCACTTCTTTCTTACCAATCATCCTATATTCTGTTTATTTCATATTTTACAGAGGTTTTAGGGTTGTTTTTTTGATGGTCCTAATTTTTTCATCTCCCTGCACTCAGACACTTTAAGGTCAGAAAGGATCATCATGATCCTCTAGTCTGACCTCCTGCACATTGCAGGCCACAGAACCTCACCCACCCACTCCTGAAATAGACTCCGAACCTCTGGCTGAGTTACTGAAATCCTCAAATCCTGGTTTAAAGACTTCAAG